ATTTCAAAGGAAAGGTGGGTTTTTTTTTAGTCCCTCCTGCACACACTCTCGCGTGTGCCGCTTTTGTCTACGGCCCTCTCGTTCTATCACAAATGCAAATAGCAGCAAAATTCCCCCTCGCTGTAGCTGAATACCTAGGGCACGTGCTGTTGTGTTGTGTCTGCCTGTTTTCTATCTTTCTTTTTTTTTTACATTCTTCTTTTTCCTTTCTTTCTAACCGTTTTACGTTTTACCTTTCCTTCTGTTTTCTTTACTTCTGTTTTTCTTTTCATGTCTTTTTTTTTCGTTCTCTCTTCATTGCTTTCGTTCTATCTCTTTTCTTTCCTTCTCTATTAATCTAAATTGTGTTGATGGGGGCGTAAAAAACTTATAATTGAAACTTGAATCGGATTCTTTCTCTTTCTTTCTCTCTTTCTTTCTTTCTTTCTTTCTTTCTCTCTTTCTTTCTTTCGATCTTTTTTTCTGTCATTCTATGTCATTTTACTTTCTTTCTTTCTTTCTTTGTTCCTGTCCTGTTTTCTTTTCTTCTCTTTTCTTTTCTCAAGGTGACTCAGTGTCCACTCCGTTGTAGATGAATTTAACAAGTTGAAGTCCGCGATAAATCCCGTCCAAATTAATTTCTTTGCTTGTGATATTTGAACAATATTATATTGTCAGAAAAATATCCGTTACCAATCTTTGGAGAGCACATTTCGTTTTTTACCTTTTTTTGCAAGTTCCACATGCATTTACAAAATGTATTTCTGTTTCTTGGTTTCGCTTAAAACTACATGGACACTATTAAGTGCGTATTGGTTTGTTTTTTTCTAGCCAAAGCAAACGTCCTGTACCGTATGTATTAACCACAGTTATGCCAAATCGTAGTGTCATATTTTATTAAACCTTTTCAGGAAAATATGTGCGATATCAGACTTTAAATGGCGCATAGAGCATTGCATAAGTGGATATGCGCTACATAAATGCAATCCATCATTATTATTTATTATTTTTGATGAAAAGGAATAATTGTCTTTTATTCATCTTCACGGCAAGATTTTTAAAAAAGAATGATCATTTATTTTGGATGAAAAAATGCGCAGCTGAACAAGACACGAAATACGTCATGCCGAAAGCAAAACATAGATCTAGTGGGAAGAGTAATAAAGTAAAATGATGAAAGGCGAAAAGTGTTCGTTCGTGGCCCATACCCTGATGTAAGGTCAGAAAGGCAGTGATGATTATGAAGAAAAAAAGAGGAAAGAAAGCAGAAACCATTCACGACATTGAACATTGCACTGTACAACTGAACAGAGATATAATTTATGGTTGTTTTTCCTTTATAATCGACATTGTACCTGTCTCTGGTATGTACTGGGTCCACCTCATGTCTTATCTTACCCACCTCTGACTTTGTTCCCATTTTAATACTAACTAACTAATAAATAAATAAATAAATAAATAAATAAATAAATAAATAAATAAATAAATAAATAAATAAATAAATAAATAAATTGTTGGGGGAGGGGGGGGGGGGGGGGCCTCTCAGTTGGGAAAGAAACTTGAAGTGAACAAAAAGATAAAAACTATTTTGTAAAAAGAAAAACGCCACCCTCCCCCCAAAAAAGAAAAAACAAAACAACAAACAACAAAAAATATACAAACAAAAACAAACAAACAACAACAACAAATAAATAAACAACAACAAAAAACTCAAATCAACCCCCCCCCCCCCCATAACAAACAAGAAACAACACAGGGTGAGACATTTACTGAATCTGTAATATATTATGGCTCACTCACAGCAGCCTAACATTTATTGAATCTATATCAGATAATGGGACCCGGGTCTTCTGGGTGCGACAGTCATTACACTACAGACGCCGGTATCTAAAGACGAACAGGCACATAAGCACTGTGTGTGTGTGTGTGTGTGTGTGTGTGTGTGTGTGTGTGTGTGTGTGTGTTTGTGTGACAGAGAGGAGGGAGGGGGAAAGAGAGGCAGACAGACAAACAGACAGACAGATGGGAAACCTTCCGACACTGTTCTCACACAACTGGTGAAGACATTTGGAAAACAGCAGTGAAACTGAGAAGTTGTACGATCTAAAAGGCCACATACATAACAGACATTTTGAAAGCCTATCAATACGTACGTACAATTAAACAAAATTAGTAAAAAAAAAAAAGACACATACATTAGAAAGAAAAAGAAAGAAAGAAAAAAAGAAAAAAAGAAAAAAAGAAGGATAAAAAGGGAAAAAAAGAGAGAAAGAGAGAAAGCAGTATAATGTCCTTGACACAGCGGGATCCCTGATAATCTCTCCTGGCCCCACTCGCTCCCCTGATGGGAGCAATCCCGGAAAGCCTTGGTGCAATCCCCTCCATTTCGTCTCTCTGCCACTATCGATGATTACGTCATTTCGTTCATTAGCCGCCATTCATATCACCGGAAACAGACGCACTCTATCAGTGAAGTCACAGACCGACGCATTGTGAAATTTGGCCAGTTTTGTTTAAACTTTCCGCCACTGTCAGTATACTAAGATATTTTGTGTGGTTTGTTGGTTTTCACAAACTGTGTTTTTCAGATATACATTAATCTATACGTGGATATAAATAGGTCTACATAACGGTAAAGTACAGCCGGCCTTTCCATATCTTTGAGTATCTCGACGACAAAAAGCCCGTGGACTTCTGTTTCATTAAAACACAGCCGCAACTCCCACAATGACCCCCCCCCCCCGGGTGACCCCAAATAATGCACACTTGGTAAAAAAGTTAGACATTGTGTGCCATACGTTTTATCACCGCCTCATAATATAGTTTGCCAATACTGGGTCCCTGCCCATCGCACAAACACGACTATCCCTTACGTCACTCTGCGCTTCCTCAACCTCTCACGAAAGCTGGCAACCGTTGGCCAATGCCTGGAAGTTGGCTCTCTCCTTGTGTCTGTTTAGTTACCTTTTTAGGTGGTGGTGGATAAAAGTCTTTCTATCGCCCCCTCCCTTGCTTAAAACGACCATTGTTGTGTTAAAAGGAGTTAAATGCGTCTTTCGCTAAGTCTCGTCACGGTGACCCAAAAGTAGCCTAGCAGACTGGAGACTCTGGATATACTGAGTAGGTCACTTACGTTCCAAACGGGAGGCTAAATTGAACTTTTATCAAACAGTCATGATGGGCAAACTCGAAAAGAGAAGAAAATGCTGCAAATAGTATGTGTATTGACGAGAAGACGAGCAGTTTCATGTTTGTTCTATTTTCTAGACTTGGTGTTTTGTCTACGTCCTGTGTTAACGTAAGGAAATGTCCTTTCCATATATAAATATCAATAGATGGTTGAGTACAGTTGTTTTGATCGATGCTTTCATTCAACTGTTACCCCCCCCCCCGACCCCACGGGACAGTCTCTCCCCCCTCATTTTCCACAAAAGAAACCCAAATGATAAACGACAAAAAACCCTAAGAATCACACATATCATCTTGTCTTCTTTCGTATTCCTATTGAGGTACTCAGCTACTCGAACAAAGGAACCTCTTTAGACAAACCCTCTCAAGACCGTATTTAGTAACATTTCCTCCCCCACCTTCTTTTTTTCTCTTCTCACGCCCCTGAAACACTTTCACCCAATCAGCCTTTGCTGTGATGTCCTTCAGCTCCCCCACACAAACCTCCCCGTCTCCAGACACAGGGCACGAGTTCACCTCACCCTCGAGATCTCTCCTTCAGAACTAATTTGTGGCTTCAGCGGACCTTAAAAGAGTTGGTCAGTCTTATAAACCCTTATATATATATATATATATATATATATATATATATATATATATATATATATAATATACATCTCTCTCTTTCTCTCTCTCTCTCTCTCTCTCTCTCTCTCTCTCTCTCCCCCCCCTTCTCTCTCTCTCTCTCTCTCTCTCTCTCTCTCTCTATATATATATATATATATATATATAATATATATATACATAAATGGCAAAGCCCACCCTCATCAGTAGTCATTGTTTCCCTTCGACAACCACGACCCATCACATTCCAGTTTATTGGCTCTAGTGATTTTGGTAAGAAAATCCTCATTAAGAGGACAAGCTATTCAAGAAAGAAAAGAAAGTCCCAAGACCCCATGGATATAACAGACGTATCATAAAAGCTCACCCGTATCTTTAGATTTTATAACATTCTAAAAGTTCAGTTGGAGGGGAAAATTGCCACTCAGTATTCCTTCTTATAGCTTTTTTGTGGAATTGGTTCGCTTTGCGCTCTTTGTAAAAGGGAGTCATCGACCAAAATGAATTTACCCATTAACAGAGACAGAGTCTAGAAAATGGTATGAATATAGAGAAATGGAATAAATCCAGACTAAAATTTCAACCAAGGACAAATTATACCAGTAAATATAAGAATAGACCAAAACAAGACTACAAACAAGACCAAAACAGAAACAACCAACCAATAGAGCTATGAACACCCTTCCTCCAGTTAAAGGAGAAAATTATCATAACAAAGTTTACAACCCCTATCAGCAAACACAGCAACAGACATGGACCACACAACTTGAAGAGCGACTCGACAGCAGTAGTAACACAAAGGTGGCAGCATCAACAGAAGAAAAGAAATACAATTTAAAATAAAATTACCACCATCACGACATTCACAATTACTGGAACAATAACAACAATGACAACATTAGCAGAAGCAACAGGATTAATAGCAGTAGCAGCATCATAGGAGAGAACAATAACAACAGTGACAATATTTTCAGCAACAACAGCAACAACGACAACAAAAGCATTGACAACATCAACAGAAGTAGCAACAGTAAAAACACCGAACACAACGATAACAAAAAACCCCAAAACAACAACAACAATAACAACAGTAACAACAACAACACCGACAAAAACAATAACAAAAACACAAAAACAATAACAAAACACCTACAACAACATCGACAGCAACAAACACCACCACCACCACCACCAACAACAACAACAAAGTGTGTTTGGAGAGCACTTACTGGTAGTGAGGTCGCAGTACTTGGCCCGGATGGCGTCAGGAAGTATGTCCGAGCGGAGCGACAGAAACGTCTCCTCCCAGGTCAGGTAACGCAGCTCTTTGGTGATGATGTTGATGGCGTAGTCGTTGCGACCCTGGACGCCGATACAGCCAGAATAATTTCTTCGGTTAGCAAGCAAACCACTAAGGCATTATGGATGCTACTTTTTGTCCATGGGGGTCTAAAAACACATACGTTAAAAAATATAAAGAAATTGAATTATTGGTAAAAGTTAAGTCTTCGTGCGTTTCAACAGACGCAGCCTTGTGTTTCCTGTTCCTGTAAGACATACCTGCAACCCCGCTGTGACCACGGATCTTGAGTACCAGTCCAAACAGTTCAAAATGGAGAGGTATACTTTTTTTTTACCAGATAACTTTCAGCGTTGTAAGAAATCTGAGTATGTCACAAAATCAACAACCCCCCTCCAAAAAACAACAACAAACAAACAAAACAAAACAACCAAAACAACAACAAAAAACCAACAACAACAAAACAAAACAAACAAAACCAACCCCCCCAAAAAACCCCAATAACAAAAACAAAAACAACAAAAAGCCCTAATAACAACAAAAAACAAACAAAAAAACCAACATCCAACTACAAAACAAAAACAACCCCGAAACGTTACCATCTGAGATAGTCTCAAATCTAAAAAAAACAAACAAAAGCAAAACATAAAAGACAAAAGCCGAAACAACTCAAACATCCCCCTCCTCCCCCC